TTGCACAATTCTCTCCAGGGGTTTGGAAAGGATTGAGATTGGCCGGAAATCTTCAGGGGAAGACGGATTAGAATTTTTATTTAAAGGACGGACTGTGGCTATTTTCCACAAGGAAGGGAATACTGAATTTTGGAGGGAAAAATTGTAGATGAAAAGGAGTACCGGAAGGATTTCAGGGAGGCATAATTTAATTAATTTGACGGGAATGCCATCTGGACCAATAGAATTAGAGTGTGATTTCATCACGGCGGATATGAGGTCTGTGGGAGAAATATCTGAAAAATAAAAATCGGCGTCATTAAAAGATGTTCCAGGAGGAAAGAAAGAAGGGAGAAATGAAGGAGTTGAAGAGGAAGCAGATATAAAATAAGAATTTAAGTCATTTGATGAAACTGGGGGCACTGCAGAGGGAGGAGATCTGGTAGGATCACAAATACGTTGTCTATTTCCGATTGAAGGTCGTTGGTGTCATTGAGAAACCGAAGTATTTAATTTATTTTACTCTCGGGAAGATTTTCGTTCTACGAAGATCCTGATTTCGACTCATTATCACGTATTTTGTTTAATCTTCATTTATTTGTTGGTCAATCAGCTTCCCATATCATTCATTGAACTCTTGACTGCTTACAGGGACAGCTTTTTCATCTGAATATCCAAGGTTTAGGTTATAGCAATATATTTTTGTGTATTGTCTACGATTAATGATTAATATTTTTTTTATGGCTTAGTTTTTATGAAATTTGTAATATATCCATATTAAAAAACTAAAATGTATTCCAGTTTATATCGTCGCTTGTCTTTGACAACATTCATTATTAAGGTGTTATGACTGTTTATTCTACTATATATTCAAATAACAGTTATAGGTCTTAAGATGCATTTCATAACTTCATTAAGGTTTAAAATTGGTACACTTAAATGAAATCTAACAATAGCCCTACTGTTATTTAGTTAGCACCCAGAGAGAAAATTCATGAATAATATTTACAGTAAATTGAAACTCATATTTTAGTTTTTTTCCGAGCCTCCGATTTTACTTAACAAATTTTCGCAAATATATGCATACATTTATACATCATATCGTAGTATATATATATATATACTTTTCTTTTTCTGTTTGCACTACAGACCTGGTTTTTATCTATATGTTAATAAATATTTTGTAATATCGGAGGGTTAAGAAAAATCAGAATAATCAGTTAAACTTAGCGCCGCATGGGCTCACCTAGAGTAGAGGTTCCCAACCTTTTTTCAGCAGCAGGCACATTTATAGGTTATGTATATATATATATATATGTATATGTATAAGTTAAACGCTGCGGGCTTCAAACACTTAAAAAAAAGAGTAAAGGATCCACAAATAACACGCATGAAGTCAGAAACAAGACTGCTTTATTGCTCCTTATAATCTCCTATATATACATTCTGAGTTGTTTACATCAATGCTTTAGGTATTAAAGCTAATACTGTCCCGCTCCGTACCTTAACTTATATATATATATATATATATATATATATATATATATATATAAGTTAAGGTACGGAGCGGGACAGTATTAGCTTTAATACCTAAAGCATTGATGTAAACAACTCAGAATGTATATATAGGAGATTATAAGGAGCAATAAAGCAGTCTTGTTTCTGACTTCATGCGTGTTATTTGTGGATCCTTTACTCTTTTTTTTAAGTGTTTGAAGCCCGCAGCGTTTAACTTATACATATACATATATATACATAACTTATATATATATATATATATATATATATATATATATATATATATATATATATATATATATATATGCAGGGTGTATACAGTACTGAGTATTTTTGAATTAAATAGCCAAACTGCCAAAATAAACTAGAGACCTCAAAACCAGAAAAAAATTTCCTCTGAAAGCATGTCCAGAAAGGCTTTGTTTAGAAATATTCACACTTGGAGATTTTCTTTGTTATGAATTATTTACCTTATATGAAATAAATAACACCTATTTATTTGTCCTAATTACTTTATTAATCAAATGTAAACATTAGCATTCATATTAAATGTAGTTCAAAGTGAAAGCGTGTCCACAAACGCTTTGTTTAGGAGATGGGTTAGATAGAATACTAATATGGCCTTTTATCCCAAAGTGTATAAAACTATTCGTAACATAAGGATTAATAATATTTGGAATTAGCATTGGAAACTCTCAATAACATTTATCAGTTTGTATGGGGCTTTCGCAGAGTACTCATCATCATGCCTTCCATTTACACTAATGATGAATATGCCTGTATGGTGTTTGTATATGGTTTTTGGCAATGACAATGCTAATGCTGCTCCTCGTGAATATGCCAGGCGAATTCAAACAAGTCTACCTATAGCTCCACGTTTCAACGTCATAGAGAAACTGGTTTGCTATGATACCACCACATGCTGATGGTATTTTTGCTCCTTTAGGTAATGAAGAAATAAGTGTGACCATATTACAATATTTTGATGATAATCCATCTGGCAGTGGACGATGAGCTGGAGCAGAATTAAATATTACGCCAACTACAGCATGGACTTCATTGCAGATGGACTTCACCCATATCATTATCAACGGGTACAAAATGTATTACAGCAAGATTTTCGGCAAAGAAGAAATTTTTCGGATTGCTACTTATATCAAGTTGAGGATAATCGACAATTTTCAGGAAAATTCTCTGGACATATGAAGCTACCTTTACAAGAAAATCTTCAATCAGAAAATTAATCATCTTCAGTGGTGGGAAAATCCCTATGCAATTCGTGAGCATCATTTTCAGCACCAATGTGGTTGGTAATAATAGACAATATTTAAATAGGTCCGCATTTCTTGCCACCTCGACTCAATACAGGCTCTCCAGACCTGATACCACTGGTTTGGGGTGATATTAAACAAAACGTCAATGCAATTCTGCTCAATGACCTTAATTCCTCGCGACGAAGGATAATTTAATCTTGTGAAACAATAACACATATCCAGTGCCGTTCTGCCACTGCTGCTGTTGAAGAAACATGCTAAGCCTGTCTTAATACTCAACGAAATCACTTTGAAGAACATTTAATATGAATTTAATGCCTACGTTTAATTAATGAAGTAGTTGAAACAAATAAATTTCCTTTACTTCCTTTACTTAATATAACGTAAATAATTCAAAACAATGAAAATTTTTAGGTGTGAATATCTCTTAAACAAAGCTTTTGCGGACATATGCGACACTTAATAGAATTTTTCTTGTTTTTAGGTCCTTAGAGCTATTCTTATTTTCACTTTGGTCACTTAACTCTGAAACACTCTGTATACTCGTATAGTAGCAGACAGCTTTATCATTTCAAAAATATATTTCTACAGAAAAGGTGAAAACACCAAGTGTAATGTTTGTATTAATTTTATATAGTTTTCTTATATTAAATTAACACATTTTCAAATTAAAATTGTAAATTAATTAAAAGCAACATGAGCAATAACTAGGTATAAAATGAGTTAAATGCAATGTTACGCAAAGTTTCAATAATTTTTTTTTACTAAAAAAGAATCGGATTAATCAAAACAATAGTAATGATATAACATATATAAATGAATTATTATTTTTAAATAATAATAATTAATATATATATATAATATTATATGGTATGGAAACGGTCAGCCTTTCGAGCCTAAAGAAAATCCTGAAGATTGAGAGGAAGATTCTGAGAGGGATTCACGGACCCAAGGTAACGCAAGAGCGATACAGGCTAAAATCCAATAAAGAAATATACAAAAATTTGGAATCAGTCGTCAGGACCAGAAGACTGGGGTTCTACGGGCACATCGTCAGGATGAATAGTGAAAGACTGAACAAGAAAACAAAGTTTGTTGACAAAGTTTGCAGCTATAAAAGTATGGGGGGATATGTAAAACAAATAAAAGATGAACTAGACAGGCTAAAAATCACGGATAAAGATTGCTTGGATAGAGAGCTTTTTTAGCAAAAACTGAAAGGGAAAAAAGCGTGAAAGGGGGAGAAAATGGACTAAGGAAGAACGAGAGGAACAGTCCAGGAGGATGAGAGAGTATTGGAGTAAGAGGAAGGCTGAGGGAGTGAAGAGGAAACGGAAATGATATTCGCGTGGTCTTTGCTGGCCGGTTCGTGGAAAAAAAAAAATAATAATAATTATTATTATTATTTAATTTTATACTAATAAACTTGTTAGATTTTCATATGTTCATATATTTGATAAAGAAATTGTAAAACATTTGAATTGCGAACTACTCTATCTGGAGCATACCACGTAAAATAATTATGATTTAAAAAAATAAAAAATAAATTACAGCTTTCAAATTCATACTTTGAACTAATTATTAGATTTTTATTAAAATAAATATTAAACTTTTAATAGAAAACTGCAGCAGGCAACAGTAATACTGCAGTCAAGGCGATAACCGCTAAAGGTTATGTTAGACACTCTTGCTCATTCCTGGACACAAATGACGTCACGCGGGAACTCTGACCTAGAGTTTGACAACTAACATACTTTACAATACAACTGGAATATAATTAGCATAAAACTTTACAGTATAATTAGAACTATACTTTACAATATCTAGGTGGTTACAATATCATTAAATGTCTGTCAATAAGAATACAATTTTTTTCCTTTTGCTTCTTCAATAACGAACGAAGGAAGAGAAGCTTTCTCCACTTGGTTTTTGTTTTTTTAATTAGAATAAATAATAATATAGATATAATTTATTTCACGTTTCAACTTAGTATGAGCGATTTATATATTTTATGAATAGTGGATCAATAGGTTAACTCCATCCACGAAATATATTTTACATAATCCACTCGTTAGACTAATGAGAATTTATAGGTAGTAATGAAAATCAATTAGGCTAATCGTCTAATTACTAAGGCTCCTTTAGAGTCCTAGGTTTAATTAAAGGCGGAGGGAGGGATTGATGGGAGGCGTTTATTAGATTAGCTTGATATAATGTAATTGGTTGCAGGTGCGCTGGTACAGGTCTGCTTTGAAGCTGGATGTCACCGACGACCACATGACCGAGAAGAGGGGAGACAGGCACCGCTTGATAATAAGGCAAGTTCAGATCCAAGACCTCGACAACTACACCTGCGAGGCCCTCAACAATCTCGGCAAATCAAGGCAGCACATTGTTCTATCAGGTGAGTGGTGTCGGCTCAACGGCAGTCTATATTGCTGTAGGTTTCACATTTCCAAGTAATATCCAATAGTTTGTAGCTCGTTTTGTATCACTAAGACAAGTCAAAAGCAGATTACAGGATCAAAATTACAGATATGAGGAAGAGAGAGATATGCAGGGAGTTCCATAAATAGAGGGAAATATTTAAATGGATTATAGCAGACCTCAACTGCTACGAATGTTTATTTAAATAATGGCCCAATTTCGTAGAAAAGTGTCTTTTTTTTAAATACTTTAACTTGTGGTTGGAGGGGGAGAGACGAGGTCCTGAATGTAGGCTTATTGGTCCTTTTTGCCAAAACCTGCTTTTTTTTTTTTAGTAAATCAGTAAGTTAAGTAATTGACAATTGCTTCAAAATAAATTAGACTAAATTAATCTAACATATGTCTATTATAGGCCATAGGTCACCAAAAAACACACTTTTTTTATATATTACATGTATGTTTATTCAACGTTTCGGCTTCAGGAGCCATTTTCAAGACTAAATTTTAACTTACTTTAAACTAAATTTTAGCAAACTAAATTTTAATTTACTTTTTACCATTCAAGTATAGCCTCAGATAATAAACTTGTATCATTCACTAACCTCTCCACCCTACTCTTTATGTAAGTAAATCCAGTCCTGTATGAATGCCCTATTGAAGAACAATACTTTCTTGATAACGTCTGCAAATAGAGGTATATAAATCGAAAATTAAAAATTTTAAATTAATTATAGCAGTCTATTATTAATTTATAATTATATATTATAATTTTTAGAAACGGAAAACGACATTCTTTGAAATAAAAGAATGAATTAGGACGAGTCATATCGTAATGACAAATTTTAAAAATTTTATGGCACGGTGCATGGTAGGTGAATGATACAAGTATATTGTCTGAGGCTATACTTGAATGGTAAAAAGTAAATTAATATTTAGTTTCCAGGTTCTTGAAAATGGCTCCTGAAGCCGAAACGTTGAATAAACATACATGTAATATATAAAAAAAACTGTATTTTTTGGTGACCTATGGCCTATAATAGACATATGTTAGATTATGAGAAAATGGCACCAAACCCGAAGGATGGGACTAGAAAATTAGACTAAAATAACTTTAAAAGAAAGTAGGATTTGTCGTTGTTAAAACCATTTAAAGTGGACTTTTGTGCTGGTAAACAGAGCTAATTTCTGTTTTTAAGAAAGTCATTAACTACATATCCATTCACTCAATAAGTAATTATTTATCTTTTAAAGGACGGATTAAATATATTTTATAAAATAATTTGACACCGTTTTAAGCCCACTTTGTTTTAAAATATTAAAGGGATGTCACTGGTGGTGTGTGAATAGTGTTAGTTATCGAAATAAAAAATAAAGCCAGACATTCGTTCATGAAATCAGTACATACCTTAGTTAGCGTTGCCCAAAATCGGTCTTGGTCTTGAAAAGTGCAAGACCAAGACCAAGACCGCCTAAGTGTTGCAAGACCAAGACCAAAACTGGTAAGAAAAATCTATTTTTTGTATAATAATCAAGGCAAAATTTTTACTAATACTTGAAAATTTTAGTTAATATATGTAAATAATTGGTATAACCAATATACTCTTCCATTTAACTGTTCTAATTTTTCATTTGGGCTTAGTTAGGTTTCTTCTATCTAAAAAATTACAGTAATATCTTTATAGTATTAAGCTAATAGATGACTGCAAGACTGTTACGCAAGACCAAGACTAAGCCCAAGACTAGGTGAGCAAGACCAAGACTCGTCTTCGTCTCACATTTGGGCAACACTAACCTTAGTGCAGATACTATAACTGCAGATAATATAACTTGTATAGAATAATTTATTCGTATTCTGAGTCTATATTTTTTTCAAAACACTTATGGAATCTCACAAAATAACACAAGCTATCGAATTTAAAAATCGGTCCATTTGTTCGTCTAATAAATCGTTGCATATATTTTAAGTGTCAACCCAAACACTTAACCCTCCTTGGGGCTTCACTGTAGTTAGCGGAAAACTCAAAAAACAAACTTTAAAAATTATACAAAAACTAAATATCTACATTTACGAAGAAGGAGATGGCCTCGTGATCTTTTTACTTAAAATTATTTAGAGAGTGCTACCACTGGGTAGTAACTCTTCATGCCTGTACATGCCATTATTTATATTTGCGCATATTGACTAGTTGTATTTGTATACAGTTGTAAATTCCATTTAATAAACAAAAAAAAAAAAAAACTTACGAAGAAGTATAAGAAACTGTCACATATTTTCAGAACAGCAAAAAATACTTATATTGATTCACTATTCACTTTCTTTTTTGTTTTAACTTTATTTTTAAACTCACGCCTGTTGGAAATACCATCAACCAGCGAATGTGCTGTCGGAAAGAAGAGTGTAGATTAAAGTTGGTAGAAGTGAGGGAAAGGAGTGCGGTGTCCCTTAATAAATTGATTTTATATTTATAGTTAGTGGAGGAGATCCCTCATCCAGCTTCTTTTGGGGCTCTTACGGATGCCATCGGGCATGTTGGTTGTAGCCACTCCTCGGATCAGTGAATTGGTATGACCGTGTAAGTTATTATAAAATCTTTTGTACTATGTTCGTATGTGGTCGTTAACTGTTGACATAGGTCTTTCTGTAAAGTAATGTTACTGAAGATACCAGGGAGCCTTGGTAATAGCCTTAAAGATTTTGATTTAAAAGTCTATAGTTTACGTATGTGAGTCTTTTTGGCTGTTCCGTATATCTGTGAAGCGTAGGTCCTAAATCTAAATTTTGTTTAGATCTCAAGTCCTTATTGTACCAGGCTGAGTGAATTTTGTGGATGTATAATGAAAGATGTTAATCGATTGATAAAATAAGCTAATCAAAAACTTAATGTAAGTTAATTGTTTTGTAAATCATCAATACTTCAATACATCTTTTAGTATGCTGTACAATTAGATTCTTGGTAAGCACGTTTAAAAAAATGGCATATATGAATATGACCAACTTGCTTCAACATTATGTAAGGTTAGAAGACTCGGCAAAGAGAGAAATGTGACTGAACAGGCCAAAGGTGCGGAGACACCCTCCCTCTATCAGAAAATGTTATTGCTATACTCATTTTAAAAACGGATAAAATGGTAGTTGAACGATAAAAATTGTACTTTAAATTATTATATTGTTCCCTGATATACAAGTTCCTCCAATATGGGTTGCTTAAAAAATTCATAATCATTCAATTCAAAAATGTTCTCCCCTCAAAAATTATGATGAGACGACTTAAACCTTGTAACTCTGTTTTCTGAGTAGTCTTGAAATAGAGATCTTTTTCGGTCATATTTGTGTGAAATGATAAACTGTAAAGCCATCTGTCATTGTCATGAGAATGCTATAATTAGATTTAACGAAGTAAATATGATTTTATTTTAATACCTGATTTTATGATAATACTTTCTAATTAATAAATATTAATATTAATATTATTAATAATAAATGACTTGTAGCTTCTAGCTTTTTTGCTCCATGTATAAGATACCATTTCACTGATTAATTAAACAGTACACCATTTTCCCTAGAAAGTTCCGTGTTTTTTTTTTTTTTTTTTTTTTTTTTAATCTTACTCTTTAACATTCAAAGTTAAATACCACATCTCGCCAATGTAAATAAGAGCACTCTTTATAATTACTGTGTTAATTTTTGTTTAATGTTGCTTTTCTCTGTTCTTTTATTTATTTATTTATTTTTTCAAACAGTCAGCGACCCCTCTTTTATACAGCTGTTGCCCTTCCCCTTTTGTTATGTGAAGGGAGATCAGAAATTACCACCTTACATTATTCTTACTTTCTACATACAACTGACTCAGAGAAATTACAGTGTTGTTGTTATTCTACTCAATATATATATATATATATATATATATATATATATATATATATATATATATATATATATTGCTATGTTCCTGGCCTCGCGTTTCTACGGCGAGTAAGGGGTTCCAGGAACCGCATTTATTTGTATTTACATGTATTTATATCGGTCCCAGAAGGGAACCGATCAACTTAAAATATATATTGATGATGTATTTAAATGTTAGATACCACAGACCCCGTACTGTAGTATCCTAGATTGAACCATATACTCTTTATTGGATTTCCTTTCTAAAGGTATCATGTTTATAAATGTACTATTTGTTTCTATTACTAATTGGTGGCATGCAAGGTAGAATGTAAAAGTACTACGTTGGTTTACTAACTATTATATTTACAAGCTTAAATAAAACCAAAATCATCTATGTACAAAATAATAACTAAACCTATATACACAATGAATAGTTAAGAATCATACTAGAGGAGAATGCTTGATGTTTGATTATAGTTACGTGTTATATTTATTATATTAATTAATGATGTATGGTTGCCAACACAAATTTACATTATTATAACTAAATGCTTGTTACCACTTAGCTGGTCCTTCATAGTGTTTCTAGCTGTCATATCTGGATTCCCTGTCTCTGCTCTCCTTCAGCGTCTAGTCCGTCCATCTGCTCTCTCCGGCTGTCTTCATCTTCCTCCCTCGACTTCCCCGCTTGAAGTCCCCAGAGCAACCCTCTCAGCTCCAAGTTCCCAGAAGAAGTCCTCTCTCCTCCGAGTTCCAAAAAGAAGTCCCTTCGTCCAAGTTCTCTATCTCCCGCCTTTTTTCATCCCCCTCTCTTTTGCCAGTGTTTTTCCTGATTGGCTGAATATCCTCAGCCTAAGGGATGACCACGCCCTCTCCCCCAGGCCAAGGTAAAGCAGCAGGTACAGACTTAGGTATTTCTGGTGGAAGGTGTGAAAAGGTCTTTCGGGATCCTTTTTAAACACTTAGTTGTCGGTCTTTGTCGGTGGTCCTTAATGGTTTTTATTACCACTTACAAAAGGTTGTCCTAATGGGTTACCCTCAGTCAGGTACCCAACCGCCAGATGTTGGGTTTATACCTAAATATGTTTATATTTAGGTAATACCTAAATTACCTTAATGTTTATTTGTTTATACCTTTAAACTAATTATT